ACCAACTGAGCCACCCAGGCGCCCCAATTTAATCTTTCAAAATGGAAGCTCTGGAAAGACCACTAGGTGAGCAAGAGATGCCTCAGTTCTTCTTAGCTAGCACTGCTCTCAAATTGACCTATGTCCAGGTCTGTTGTTCCATATGTACCTTGAGGCATGATGCCATACCCAGAGTTAATCACAGATTCAGCTACATACAAATCTTTTTATACAAGGGGATCATGAGAGAATTAAGACCGTTTTCCAGTCTTCTAGCTAAGCGAGGGCTAACTGATGGGGAAAGTAGAAAACCAAAAGGTCTCCACAGTGCAGGAATCTGAGAGCATGGCTACAGGTCATCCCCCACATTGCCCCTACACTGGGAACCTCCTCATTCTTATAATACAACTTTGTCCCTGCTATTCCTTCCGCCCAGAACAGCCTTTACTGTTTTCTTGTCATCTTGGATGTGAACTCATACCTCAAGACCTAACTCAAATGCTACTCACTCCTCTATACATTTTTCAACATCTTTAAGCTCTATGAAAGACTAGAATAAAAATGAGTGTGAGCTTAGAGGATATTTAAATTATCAAGAAACAATAATTAATACATTTATATGGTGGTATTTTTTATACACAGGGTTTTTGTTCCCCTGCTTTTTCAGTGTGACTATGTACTTTTCCCCCCAACACATGGCATGTTCCACAGCAGTGATTCCCAAACACCAGATATTCAAATACCAATTACACATTTTTTTGGTCATAACCATTGGCCACCTGTAGTAGTATTTGCTTGTTTAAAATTTTTTTCTTAAATTGATTTTATAAGAGTTAGATATTTGCTTCAAAAACAGCATCACTTGCCCTAAATAGAAGTTATCCTTAAAAATAAATACAATGAAAATAAAACAGTACTGTTAAATTCTGGATAAAACCACTGCATGCGAAGACTTTGGGCTTAAGGTCCACAGTTTTTGTTTTTTGGGTGTTTGTTGTTGTAATCAGACAGGAAGATCAGCAAGTTTTAGAGAAAACTGAAGACAGACTAGTACCAAACTGAGCTTTTCTCCCTTGTAAACTCAGGGTAGAAAGAACTGACAATGAGACCACTTTCACACTTGTGTGATTCTTTAATGCCCTGTCTTTGACCATCAGTGCAAAAGCCCACATTTTGAACCCTGATGAGCGCAGAGCATATAGGGAGACTGGATTCGAGATCCATTTGCAAGCGCCTAAATTTGTTTCAGTAAACAAGTCACTTTTCTATCCATCGATGCCCCGCCCTTCATTTTCCTTATTCACTCTCAGGAGAGTTTATGATAGTTTTCACGTAAAATAGTTTACTTTTATCATCACTTTTTTTCTGGACTTTCATTAAATCAACAAAATGCTTTGAACCCATACCAGAAGCTCACCACTGAGACTGCAGCCACGGGGTAGACATTCGTTCCCTTGCTGAGAGTTATCTTTCTCCCCTTAGCTCTTTCCTCCTTTTTAAAATTACAGCGAATCAAATACCCAGTTTATTTATTTCAAACAGATGACGAGATTAAAGATCGGTGCAGCTTAAAGTATACTTGAATCCAGAGCTTTTCAAAACGCCCCACTCCTCCCAAACACACATTAACCCTGAAGATTGCCGTGGCAGTTTCCCCGCAGGCCACTAGGCGGCGCGCACATTTTTCGATTCCGAAAGAAAGTGCCTATGTGGGTACTACCCCTGAACTTTGGAATTGGTGTCTCCTTTCCCCACTTTCTATTCAACTTGGAGCAATTGTGGAGAGCCCTCAGGTTCACTCACTCCACTAAGCCATCCTCGACCCATGTAGTGACTCCTTGTCTGCCATTACGAAGAATTCTTTTGCTCCCCAAACCACAACAGTTTTGCTTCTGACTGTTTTCAGCGTTTGTCCTTTTGACATTTTAGAAAAAATAAGATCCAAGTTTAATGTTGAAAAGAAAGCACTAATTTATTTAGTGAGAAGATTTCTTCTCCCTATTACTGTTTTCCCTAGCTGTGGGGAAAATGCTCCTCTAAGTATTTAAAGCAGCTCCTTTGAGCTAAAGAGCTTTCTGAGGAATAACAGAGCTCTTTCTGAGCAGATCTTTTGGAGCTGACATTGGTACCCTTGTCAGCAGCATGTTGTATTTTTGAGGTCCAGACTTTGTCTCTGAATTTTACATTCTGAATTTACAAGGCCTTGATTTCAAACACTGCAGAATACATTCCCAGACCAACTGTCCCTACAAATCAGGATCCAAGACATACATCCAGGTGTTCTCCAGGTTCTTCGCCTGGTGTGTGGCCCTAGAACCTTAGACCTCACCATTTATCTGATCCCAAAGTCCCCTTCCCTCTAAATATCTACTCTGAGCTTTTCTTGGGAGTCAGCAAAGACATTAATGAAATAAATTGTAAATATGCCCTAATGCACATGGATATGATATTGCCTTTGGATGAGCTCCTCCGAAGTTGACACGGGGAACCCTGGGAACAGGGCTTGAGCAAAAAAGAGTGAAGACTGGGCCTTGCCCACCCCTTTCTGTGAATCTCAATCAGCCTGTTCTTTAAGGAGATAAGCAACTTTCTTTCTTTTTTTTTAAGGGAGGTGTCAGAAGTCTTCTGAGGCTGCAGCTTTATGCAAATGCACTACTCAAGAAGAAGGCTTTAGGGGAGAGTTATTTATATCCCACAGGCATTACACATGCAAAAGGTGAAACTGTGACTCTCTGAATTTCCAGGAGTGGATGTTCTCATGATGAGCGCATCTTTGCAGTTAGCTATTTTGGTGGCACACAATTCCCATACCTGTCAGATTGTTCCGGGGAGGAGACTACATAATGATCCAGTAATTTTAGACTGACCCTGTATGTTTCTCTCCCAGTGGGACTGCATGACCTGAACTTTTTCTGGGATTAGATTTACTACCACCTTCATCTATCTAGTAATAGATACATTTCATTTCTTTTTCTCCTAAACAGGTACAGCTCTCAGTTATTAAAAGGTAATGATGTGGCACATTTATTGCCCCTTTCCCTTTCAGATTGACCCCTGGAATTAGCAAAGAAAATGGCCATGTCTCTAGGAATTATTGCCCTGCTCTGTCGCTGGCTTACCCTACCCAGAAATACAGACCATTCTCCACATCGAAGTCTACAGTAATCACTTCAGGAAATTGCTTTCCCTATTGGAAACTGAGAGCTCAAATCGGAATGTTTCCACAGCACAGCTGATGATAATTACGACTCACTGAAATTTCAGTTTTCTTTGATTGTGATATAAAAACTGGGACATAAATTAAAACCCAATTATCCTTTAAGGGTAATTGGGGTTATAAAACCAAGAGACTGTGAGTCAGTGTGTCGATATTGCAGAAGCACAGTGTCTGATGGAACAATATGTGTTCTGTATCCCAAACAGCCTTTCACATGAAATGGCTGGGAATAAGGTGATCCGTGTACAGTGCATACCGAGAGTGTACATCAGACTGGGTGACAGCCTTGGAGAAATGCAGTGAGCTTCTAGGACATCTTGGAAAGATTAAAATATGCAAAAACTGTAATGGAAACGTCCTGGCCTTCACCTGTGAAGGTGCCCAGTGGTGGAACAAAGCACTCAGCACCAAGACTCCAGCCAACACCTAAGTGCACACTTGCAAAATGTGGTTCTATCTACCTGGGCAATAGGTACAGTTCTTTGGTGTAACACAATCTACATCATTATAATCCACGAAAGGATGGACTTTGTTTTTCACGAAGGGCATGATCCCACAAAGGCTGCAGAAAAGATTTTTGGTAAATCAAGTCATAAGTTAACTGCATGAAGGGGAGCTCATTAAAGGAAGATTTGGATTATTCTTTAAGGACAGGAATTGCCCACATACCTGTGGCTCTCTACCAGGCCACTTCTGGATGATGAGTATGTATACTCTTCGGGTCAAATCTTATCCACCAAAACTTCCCAACCGCGTACCCCAAGCCCTCTCGTGACACATCCCTCATTCTGGATTTTCAAAAGAGTTTCACTTCCCGGTCTTTCTAGAGAATTTTTTATTCCCTTCCATTGTGCACCATTCGTATTTTTAAAAGAGTACATACCCACCATATGACAGTGACATTTTCCTCTCTGGCTCTGCCACTCTGCCCTTGCAGTGCCTTCACTGTGATGCGTGTGTTGGGCACATAGCAGACACTCACTAAATGATGCTGAATATAATGCACCATTGAAACAGCATAACTCCAGATTTTTAATTCTTCTTTTTGGAAGGTAAACATTGCCATAAGTTATTAACTACACAGAAGACTTGACCAAATCCAGCTCCCTTTCAAAACCAACCAGGTTTTCCTTTGAGGGCACTCACCTCTGCAAACAATTTTCTGGCCACAGGACAACATAAAGGTCCAGACTAGGGTATCCAGCAGACCTCTGTTTTTAATTGTTGCGTCAGTCTCAAGTCCCCTGAGAATCACGAGAGAGAAATGCAAGGTCCAGGTTATTTCCACAACCCTGGGAAACCAAGCTTGGATAGACATCTAGGGAAAATGTTATGTCTGATCTGGGCTTTTGCAACCTTATTTCATAATCCACTTTCTTATCTATTATCTCGCAAAACCAAAGAGCAATTGGTACAAACTGTATTGACAAAAGATCAGAACTTGATTCTCAATGGCAAAGGCAAGTATACATTATAAATAGCAAAACAGCTGGCTTGGACCATGTTGCCGGCCACTCATCCAGTTGAGGGATTTGAATGACATCATAACCCTTGAGAGGGTATTGCTAGCCAGCTGGTGTTATTTAGAATACACAAAAATTGGAAAAAGAAAACACACACACACACACACACACACAGGTTCAAGTTATGCAGAAAAACATGAACAATGGAAAAATAGTTTGCCCCTTAGGTGCCTTTCCCTGGGCAGGGGAGAGGATTGGGGGGGAGGTTGGTAATAGGAAGCCTAGTAGAGAAAGGAAGAAAAAGATTTTATTTTTTCAGTTGGCTTTATAGCTCAGCAAAGTCTTTGCCCTGTTGCGGGCAAAAAGCATGAGACGGTGTCCTAAAGGGAGCCAATTGCAATGCTGCCTGCCCCTTTTCTAGGTTCTAGGAAATGAGATCATTCCCCTTGCTTAGCAACTAGGACAAGGGGTCACCCCAGTGCTGTCTTCCAACCTACTTTACCCCAGTCATTTCAGGGTTAAAATTGTAGGGTTTGCTCGAAATGTTTTTTTTTCTTCATTTCTGTTTTTTTATTTTTGCATTTGCTCTGGAATAGAAAAATGCTCGCCCATCCTCCATTGTATGCTCCTTTAATACTGGTAAGGTGTATTAGCAGATGTGTGTGTCTCCATGCCCAGCAGAAAGTTAATCAGAGAACAGATCCTTATTTTTTATGGCAGCATCAGTATATTAATGTTTGCTAACCCTGTCACTAACACACATTCTTTTAAGGGAAAAAAATGCTTCTGTGCTCTAGTTTTAAAATGCAAAGGTATGATGTTATTTGTCACCATGCCCAAAAAAGTCCTTACTCGATAACTTTGCCAGAAGAGGGAGAGAGAGAGAAGGCAAATGTTCCCCCAGCTGTTTCCTGTCTACAGTGTCTGTGTTTTGTAGATAAATGTGAGGATTTTCTCTAAATCCCTCTTCTGTTTGCTAAATCTCACTGTCACTGCTAAATTCAGAGCAGATAGAGCCTGCGCAATGGAATAAAGTCCTCAAAATTGAAATGTGACATTGCTCTCAACATCTCCCATCTCTCTGGATTTCTTTTTGCCTCATTATTCCTGCTAACCAATTCATTTCCAGACTTTGCACTTCAGAAGCAATGGGAAAAATCAGCAGTCTTCCAACCCAATTATTTAAGTGCTGCTTTTGTGATTTCTTGAAGGTAAATATTTCTTACTCTTTGAAGTCATTGGGGAATTTTCTTTAAATTGTGTACTGTTTGCTTCTGCCTAGAAATGTTATTCACTTTAGAATTTTCATTGTTTCGGAACTGGGAGTTATTTATAAATTGCTGAATATGCAATTCTGTGGGATCTGAAAAACTAGCTCCGGGAGATGGATGCCTTTGCACAGATATCTGTATGAGTAGAAACTATAGCAGGGTACTTATGCTAAATCCTCCACTTGTGCAGGGCTTCAGTGGTATCATTATAGAAGCTTCCTTTAAATCCTGTCTATGGTTAAGGGCTATAGAGCATGGATATGAACTTTTAGATTTTTTTTTTGCAGGTGCAGATGTTTTATTTTTAAGACCATGTTTCTGTGTGTGCATGTGTGTGTGTGTGTGTGTGTGTGTGTAACTCGTCAGGACTTTTTATTACAAGGCATGCCACATACGAAGAGTTACCTTTTAGGTGATATTAAAGCTTTTAAATATGATCTTTGGAGCTAAGGTTCCAGAACTCTCTGCACTTATGCCCAGAAAGTCAAAGTTAGAGCGAAGTTTAATTTACTCTTCTGAAAAAGAACTTGACAACTCTTGCTGACCCTGCATATTCGTATAATTTAAACAATGCATACTGTATATATGAAAAGTGGAAACTTTCTAGCAACTGCATGTCCAAGTTTTCTCTTTGGAAGAGGACTTTCATGGGTGAAGTTTGGACTTGGGATTTCATGTTGTAAAACTGATTTTATACTCAGTGTTGTAAAGTCTCTTTAGGTAAATTTGGCTGCCGCTGCTAATGCCAACTTCTCGTTTCCAATCACTGGCCCTAGTTCAAGTTTCCATTCTCAGCAAAATTATATCCTTCAAGACTTGTGTTTTTCCAATTTGCAAGCATTTTTAAGCCACTGTCACTGGCTCCTCAATGCAATTGCCTAAGAGCTCAATTCATAAAACTTCCCTGCCACTTAATACAGCATTCATTTGCTGCTTTGAAATACTCCACCACTAGGATTTTTCTTAGTCAAGTAAGTGGCTTATGAGTTAAGAGTACATCTTTGTCAGGCACCTGATTCTGCTACCTTCCAGGTGCCAAGACTGGCTACCTTGCTTTTAAAAGAAATGAAGTCTCTCTATATACTATATATATAGCATATATAATATACTATGTGGTCTGACAGCTAAGGTTTTTGTCTCCCTACTTAGATGATCATAAAAGGGGTTGTTGTTATCTCTGCATTAATTACAAGTTTGGAAAACTTTCTCCAAATGAACTTTTCAGAAATAGAGCTAGCAAATGTTGTTACTTTTCCTTTGTACCTGGAGCAAGAAGTGGCTTGAGGGAGCTTTGTGGTCCTTCAAATGTAATTCAATAAGTAAAGGGGTCCTGCCTAGAGGCAGAACTCAAAAGCTGACTGTACTCTGAGTCTCAAGATATTTGTAAGTATTTGAGTCAGAGGGAAGGGGGTAAGGCAGAGAACTGGAGCTTGGGGTCCCTGTTTAGAGCGGCTACAATAGGCACACAATGGAAATTGGTGCCTTGATGGGGGGGTGGGGGAGACATGGACTCAAATCCCAGCTGTGCAATTTGTTCATTGTTTGATGGACAAAAGGCAGTTTACCCAGGCTAATGGCATACCTGCCTGGGTGTCCAAATGTAACTAGATGCTTTCACAAACCCCACCCACAAAGCAGCACATGTTTTTAAGTCCTCAGTTTTCTATTCACATCAGCCTCATAATACCCACCCTGACCTGCTGTAAAAGATCTGGAACAAACAAAAAATGGTTACACCTACAGTGAGTATTTTCTTATGACTATTGCCCTCAAATTTTGCTGGGCATTTTCATTGTAGCCCAGACATCTGGAATCAGTTGATATTCCATTTATTTAAGATAAAAAAGAAAGGTCTTTTAAATTTTGAATTTGTGAATGATTTTTGAGAAACAGTGCTCTGAATTCTTTTTCTTTCTTTTTTTCTCTTCTCTTTCTGGTTCTTCCTTCCTTTCTCTCTATATCTTTCCTTTCTCTCTCTTTGTTTCTTTTGTGTTTGGCAAAATAAAAGACCAAGAAAAGGACGGACATATGGGGCCACTTGTTTCAAACTTTTAACCCCTAAGCAAGTTTGTTATTGTTTTCTTTGGGGGGAACATAATGTGATAAAATTCTCTGGTTCTCTGTGGGTGTACTGGACTGTTCCCTGAACTAAGGGAAAATGCAGTGGAGGTTCTCTCTTGTCCTAGAACTGTAAGTGCTGATAGTTACCTAACAACATAACTCAGCAAAAAGAGAAAAGGAAAACGAAAAAGCTGTAAAAAAAATAAATCTTATATTCTGAAATGCTAGTGATCTATATGTGAGAACTTATATGTGTTATGCCAAAAATAACTATTAAAAATATAGTTTTGGCATCTCACGAAGTTCTCAATTCACTAAGGCTATGTCTCCCCATGGATTTTACGAGAACTGAAGAACTTCAACCCATCTACAGTTGCAGGTGCTTCAGCATTACTATAAACTCAACAAAGAAGGGAGGGATGGAGAAATAAGATTATCGGTAGAATGGCATGCATTCTAGAACTGGCCCATTGCCAGAGTGTGGGGTATGTTCTGTAAGATCAATTCACAGTTTGCTCTTTTGAAAAAGGCAATGAGGTCCAGACAGGTTGGAACTGTTGAGATTTCCACTGGCAATACTGAAGGGGAAAACCCCCACCAATTATTTTATGACTAAGAAAAATGTAGATTGGATGAGAACCTGTTTCCTGCAGTCCTGGTGGCTTTGGCTGTGTGGAGGTGGAGGGTTTCTATACAGAGGTCCTATTGAGAAAATGGAAGAAGTGTTCAGTTGAGCTTTCACCTCCTCTTCTATTTTACGTCCATTATTTATGATGATTTGCAAATAGAGGGCACTTTTCATCTTAAACTGTTTTACAAGCATTAACTGAGTATTTACGTTGTGTTAACGAGAGGCAGGGGTTTAAGGTGTTTTTTTTTTTTTTCCCAGTTGCTGAGCTGAAGGTCTGGCCACAAAAATGGAAATCTTAATTAAAATGATGGAGGAAAATCTGCCGCTGATGTAGAGAGCCATTAAGTTGAGAGTTTATGGAGGGCAAGGAAGGCAAATGACTGAGTCTGTTTCTCCAAAAGGGATGGGGTTGAATGGGTCTGCCACTACTGTGAGGTTCAGAAAAGCATTTTTTTATAATGATCGCTTCCAGCATAACTCCATGACCCTTTTGATAAGGTCCCTCGCTTACATCCTGCCAGTGACTCCTCCAAGGCCACTGAAAGTAAATACATCTGAGAGAGGTAAAGCTACTCACCTTGGGAGGCTTCCTGGAAGAAACCACATCTTCGTGCCACAAGTAGCTATATGGAAAAGTTAGTGATCACCTTAGCATTGTTCCTACTACTTTGAGAGAGGATAGAGCCCTGAGCCCCAGAAATCCTGCTTTTGGCCAGGCTGCCATTTGGCTATCACCGGGGGTCCTTCAGTATATTCTGCTATAAAATGGATACAGAGACACATAAGTCCCTCCAAGACATGAAGTCAGAATTCCTTTGGCAGAAAAAAAAAACAAAAACAAAACAAAAAAAAACTTGAGCCCAATGCCCTGTTCATGGAAGGCAATATCTCCACACATATTGATTTGATACTGCACTTGACACAGAGGACTTTAGAATACAGAAGATGTAGGTTCTACTTAGCATGAGCCAATTTCATTCTTAAATCCTATTTTTCCTGTTTCTGGTTTTTTTTTTTTTTTTTCACTTCCACTTGTGGTTGTGTTAACTTCTGATATTCCCCAGGTAAGAAGTTTCTCTGTCTCTCTGTCTTCCTCTCTGTCTCTGTTTCTCTCTTTTTTCCCTCTCATTAAGTGGAAAAAAAAAAAAAACCCTGTAATGACATATAGTATTTTCACAAATCCATTTTTATCCACAGTAAATTATCTTTAATCAGTAGCTGGGGAATGATGTTCTAGTTAACTTAATATTCTGGCCCATAATGAATGCATAGGCCATCTGTGGATGGCCAATCTTTAGAGAATTTAAATTAATAAAATGTATTTGATCCCAAATCTGGACTGAGCATAGTTTAACCTTTGACAATTCAAAAGGTTTACCAGGATCTCTGAGTGGTGTGGGATTCTACTGCAATCATAGCAGTTTTCATTTATATAGTAAATGTTTCTACATATTTTATCTCATTGAATTGCAATAGGAGTCTGCAAAGAAGGGGTTCAGTGAAGTCCACAGTGGCAAGGGGATTAAACACAGGTTGTTTGATGCCAAGACATGCTCAGTCCCCACCACCCTGAGGTCCATCATGCACTCTGTTGCACTTCTGTGCAGGGTAGTTCTGACTAATGGCAGTAATGTAATGCTAGGAGTGATGCACCTTTGCCTCACCACCACTGCCCTTGCAAGGACCAAGGAGGAAACATGACCATCCTTCTATTTTTTTGGCAGGTAAAGATGCACATCATGTCCTCCTCCCATCTCTTCTACCTGGCCCTGTGCTTGCTCACCTTCACCAGCTCTGCCACAGCTGGACCGGAGACGCTCTGTGGGGCTGAGTTGGTGGACGCTCTTCAGTTCGTGTGTGGAGACAGGGGTTTTTATTTCAGTAAGTAGCCCTCCCTCTCACTGCTCTGTGGATTTACAACCACAGGGAGTGTGTGAATAACTGAATGACTGCCCGTGGCTGGCAGCCTTCCTCAGCCTCTGAGATTCCTTACCTTAAAGTAAGCCTAGTGTTTCAGCGGGGCTGTGGCAGGTTTTGCAGATTTAGGATGGAATTTTCCTCCTTAGCAGTTTGTCTTTTAACTACTTCCTGCTGAGCTTTCCCAAAATTATTGTGCTCTACCCTCGCTATTCCTTTCTTTTCAGTGAAAGGAAGGGACAGAATGACCCTGGGGAATTGAGGTTTTTGTTTTTGAGATCTGTGGGTGCTCATATAAACATATGGAAACACGGAGTCCTGTTTTTAGTGGTAGGTAATTTGGAGTAAAATAGTAAGGTGGACTGGAAAGAAGAATTAAGGGGGCACATCCCAGATGTCTCCGCGCAATGTGAAATCACCAGGGACAGAAGGTGAACTTCGCTCAAAGGCACATTTGTAAAAACACAGGCACTCTCTAAATGCAAACTGAAATGTCATATTAATTTGTCCTCTATGAAAATTGACCTTGATGTTTTGTTATTGCCTTCCTTTGACTTAGCTTTTCTCTGGGACTCTCCAGTGATATCTCCATCTGGAAAAGGGTTTCTGACAAGTGTGGGGTTACTTATCCCATAAGTAGGTCTCAGGTGATTAAAAAGCTGACAGTCAATAAAAAATAGACAGCCCAGTCAATGTTTGCAAATAATAAACACAAACATAAGTCAATGTTGCCTGGGGGAACTGAGCACTTACAGAATCTACCTCAAAGACATCTATCTCATTGTATATTATAGGACAGTGAAAGATTTAAAGCCAGTTGCTCATTCTATATAATTATTTGGAATTTTAGAGAGTTCCAGGAAACTGATGTTCAGGTCCTCAGTGAGCATGAATCATTCTTAGAGGTTCATTATCACTCAAGTGTAGACAGCTTACCTCAGTTGCCCACTAAGCTTTGAATAGCTCCTCTGATGACTCACACACTTCAGGTCTCTCTCTTCTTCTTCCCAGGGAAGGTGGTGTGTGCCTGTGCATGCGTGCGTGCGTGCGTGTGTATGTGTGTGTGTGTGTGAGAGAGAGAGAGAGAGAGAGAGTAGGGGGAGGGGCCTGAATATAGCAGTCTGGGATGAGTCAGAGAGATGGCAAGGGAGAGGCTGATGGGGGACTGATGATTTGTATTCATCATAGATTTGGCAACAAATAGTCTTTAAACAACTAGTGACAGAGAATGAGAAGTGCTTTTTACTACTTGAATGGGCAAACACCCCTCTCTGTTTCCAGCTAATGCTTCAATAGGATGAATTCATTTATTTTTCTGGCAATAAAGCAATTCTATCCAGGTCTCTGTTATAGGGCAGATGAATAAGTTCATTGGGTGGGTACTTTTCAAATAGCAGACTCGTTTTACCTTTGAAATATACAGTGAAAGGCAAATGTGCTACATCAACATCACCCAATGATGGGTTGTCATTATTCTTTACTTTGCTGCTACTGATCCACATATAAAAAAATGAATAAGTAATTCTCACATATTATGCCCAAGAGGATTTTTTTTTTTTTGCCTTGATAATCCATTTGTGCAGTTTCCTTTGATCCAAGGATCAAGGTAATTGCCAAGCCCACAATTGTCTTCCGTTATGTGCCAGGATGAAATGTCTTGTTCAACTTGACGTGCTCCAGGATTTCCATGTACAGTGCAAGGAAACTGGATCATTCTGTGCTTATGATGTTTGCATTAGATAATGAAAAATGGGAATGTAAATAATGATTTGGTCTCAAGTAACCATATAAAACTGATATATGTGCACACAGACGGTTAAGAGTATTGGACAACTATGATGGAAACCAATTTCAAGGCACCAAAAGGTTCTCTTATTGAAATCACCTAACCAGGATCTACCCTCTCAATGAGCTCCTTGATGCCAAAGACTATGTTTATTTTCCATTGAATCCCAGTATCTAGCTCAATGCCTGGCTGATATAGAAAAGGCTCTATTTGATCATTGAACTGACAAGCTTGAATTAAATTGAACCTCGTTGAATGGAATGGAATTACTTATTTGGGATCTCAGTCTTCAGAACCATAAAGAATTAGGTTTGTCAATTACTTTGGATAATTCATATCTCCTATTTACCCAGCTATTGGATAAAATTGTTTTTCTTTTATTCAACTGAATACGACTGTGAGGCTGACTAGAGGCTGCATTTTGGTCGTCATCCCTAAGCTACACTGATGGTCTGTTTTGTGTCTGAGCCAATTATTTTAACAGGCATTAACTGTTGTCAACAAATTGTATTGAGTTTCCTTTTTGTCCCTTGAGATTTAGTGTGTGTGAAGTTAGCTCTAAGCGTTTACAGGTCTTTGAGATACTTTTTTAGAGGAAAGCAGTCTTCCTCACCTCGATCCCCTGTCAGTTGACCCTTTTCATTCTTTTTACCCTTACTTTCAAAGTTTTATTGCAGCTGTGCCTTTTATTTTAAGCTGCTTCAAATCCATTTTGAAAGTACAGTTTTGTTGTTGTTTTCTTTTTTTAATAGTGGAAAGCAGTTTCTGATCTTCGTTTGAAATTCAAACATCTAAAAGAAAATTGCCTCCATATTTATCTTTTTTGTCAGGTCGAAATGTTTAACAAGGAGAGTTTTCTTAACCTGTTAGACACAGAACAGTTCTGAATTAAAAAAAATAATGTTTACTTTGTATAGACTGACCCAGTGTGTGAATGAGCTCATATTTCTCTATAAGCACAAGTTCTACTACAACACAGTGGAAGCAACCTTCTAGATTATCTGTTTTGTGAACAATTTTTCCAGCATAAGTGGAACAGTTCCTCTATAATTAATGCAGCTTCCCCAGACATTTCATGAAATGAAAGTTCCAATGAAGAGCTAATTACTAATTCTTCCCTATGCGTCATAGTAAGAGAAGGTATCAGCCAGTCTTGTGCTCTCATAGTCCTGTGAGGAAAATGGTGGCGTAATGAAGTGGTACATTGGGAAAGAGCTCGCTTTTATCTCGCCAGATTGATGGAGCCCTTATAGAGGAGGGCTTGTTATAACCTCATTTTGCATGAAACATAGCAAGAGGAAAAGAGCTTCAAGTGAAAAAGAAGAAGTTAAGCTTGCCATAGATATAATTTTTTAACAGTCATGGTGATTAACCATTTTAACATGTACTTTAAGGGCTTGTGGAATTTCTCTCTTTGGAGATACTTAAAAATTTGAAAGACAACCAACCATCTTGGATGGTTTCAATTAAGAGCAACCAAAAGAAAGCAAGTTTCTGGGGTCCTTTTTAGTTTTAAGAGTCTATAAACAGTCCCTTAAATAAACTGTATATGCTTTACCTCAGCGGTCTGGGAAAAAGGAGAAGTGAATCAAATAGAAAAGAAGGTTGGATACCCTTTCAGCTATTCCAGATTTATAGCTTTTGTAAAACACACTTCCAATTCATAGTTATTAAGAACAGGTCTGAATAAACTAAGGGCATTCTTCATGCGTTAAAACATACTGCTTTATGGAGTTTAAGCGAAACTTTGCAATGAATTTCATTGTTATTGATTGCAACAAACTTCCTAGATCTAGGTATTATTATTAACTCAGGTTTCTTTCATTTGAAATATAGTGCTCAGAAAACTGCTCCCAGACCTGTCACTCATTAGCTGTATGACTTTGGCAGGCATTTAAACTTCCTGAGTCAAAATGTCCTTGTCCATAAAACAATGGGATTTTGTTAAAGTAAATGACTTCTTATAACTTTAACAGACTCATAGTCCAGGTTATAATGAACAAGGATTTGGTGTTATTCAAGAAAGGAGAACCTTAGATTTAAGCAGTGACCAAAGAACATTTAGTGTCCTTTATCTTCCCTAAAGAGTTTCTGTTTGCCCCAAAGATAGAAGATTCCACCTATGTAAAGAAAGAGTAGCTAGTTTGCTTTGTTTTGTTTTGTTTTGTTTTGTTTTGTTTTGTTTTGTTTTAATCTGGGTTTCAACTCCTCAGGAGTGGAATAGAAGCTCAGACATGACCAAATACATGAAAGTCATCTGGCCAAAGGAGCACATGCAAGCAGATTGCCATGTTTCTTTGCGAGGAAGGACCAGCTGACAGTTCTCATCTTTACATTTTCTCACTCTCTTGGTTGTGAGAACAAGTGAGTAGGTCAGTTTTTAGTTGTCCTTTATTAAGTCAGATGGGACAAATAAGAACCTATAGGCTTCTAAACCTTGACCAACCACCTTTTGCCAGCCTATTGATACTGCCTTTCCAATTAAAGAAGGGAGTGTATAGTTCAGGGCATTCAAAGATATACACCATTAGCAGTGCTTTGAGTGGGGCCGGGTTTGAGCTACACCATTTGTATTCCACAGCTTGGTACCCCTTAGACTGCCAGCCACGCATTTGTATGACAGCTGGTCAAAGTTAAGGGTACAGTCTCTGGCTGTGGAAAAGCTTTCTCTTTGAAATTAATTGGCACACGTGGGGTTTTACCTTATGGCCCTGGGCTCATTAGTACCACTAAGCTAATAGGCCACAGATATTCTTAAAGAAAAGTAATGTGTTTTTATATTGATGCTAAATGCTTGCATCCCAGAGGACCAGTCTATGCAAACAAAGGACCACTTAAAAAGTGATAGCTTCTGTGAGAAATTAGAAAATAATTTGCATTTTTCTGACATTTTAATATTCTTTAAGACCATCTCCCTGATGGAGAATTATAAGAAGCAGAAGAGTGAAGGGTTCAAGACCAAGAGCATGGTCTCTATTGCCAAGAATTCAGAGTTTGAATTCTAGCTTACTTGGTAGGTGGCCTTGAGCAAATTACTTAACCTCTTTGTTCCCCAATTTCCTCATCTGTAAAATGGGGCCTACCTCATAAAACTGGTGTAAGGATTAAATGAGTTCATGTATTAGAACATATTAACTTAGAATACTGCCTGGCACATAGTAAGCACCATACACATGTT